TATATATATATATATATATATATATATATATATATATATATATATATATATATATATATATATATATATATATATATATATATTCATTCATTCATTCATTCATTCATTCATTTTCTTTTCGGCTTACATCCACAAACATCCACACAAACTCATTCACACACACAAACACTATGGACATACGGACAATTTAGCCTACCCAATTCACCTGTACCGCACGTCTTTGGCCTGTGGGGGTAACCTGAGCACCCGGAGGAAACCCACACGAACGCAGGGAGAACATGCAAACTCCACACAGAAACGCCAACTGACCCATTCAAGGCTCAAAACAGCGACCTTCTTGCTGTGAGGCGACAGCACTACCTACTGCGCCACCAAGTCCCCCTATATTATACACACACACACACACACACACACACACACACACACACACACACACACACACACACACACACACACACACACACACACACACACACACACACACACATATATATATATAAAATCAAAAGAAACTAAGTAACTAATTACTTAAATATTTTTCAAAAGGTAATTTTTTTTTACTCTTACTAGAGTAACTTTTTACTTTTACTTGAGTAAAAAATTCGGCAAGTACTTGTACTCTTACTTAAGTACAGATTTTGGATACTCTACTCACCTCTGCTCATTTTACAAATCGCGCATCACAACGAAAGCATGCGGGAGCCAGCCGGGGAGCCTCTCCATTTACACAGCGAGCTTCTGAGCTCCATCTAAGTTTATTCTTTCGAGGAAACCCAAGAAATCTATCAGTGCTGCAAAAAGACTGTCCAGTTCATGCTGCTCAGACCGCGCTTAGATAAGGAATTAAAATGAAACCGTGAAAATAGTTTGGATTGTTTTTGGCGCTAAAGCATATAGCGGGCTTGTCTTAAAGCGCTTCAACTCAGATGTCATTCATTCTTTTTGTTAATGCTTTAGATAACTGACTGACAAAATATACATCAAAATTAAGTTACACATTATACAAAACGAAATTCGTTACAAAAATATACATTTTCAAGGAAATATGTATAGATATATATTTTTAGTTCGTGCCGGCCTTAAACAACTGCGGGTGGATGATGCTTCTCTCCGTGGGAAAAAAATGAATTAAATAATATTCCACTGCTGTTGTAAACGTCTGTCATATGTTTTCTGCATTTTTAATATGTCATTATTTTAAAGATTATGTCTTGAGCATCTGATTTCTCCTCTGTGATTATGTCCTTTAAATATGTTAAGGCAGGTTCTTTTACCGTCGATGAGGGACGATAGTGGTATTACAGATTTCAGAACAAATATTTTAATATTAAAAAGGAAGCAAGCTTGACATCAAAAGATCCTATTATTTTTATAACAAATACCCTAAAATTATGCAGCCTGTAGTTTACAGCAAGCATAAAGTGTTCATTAATGAATTAAGATGCGTTTGAGATTGTGTTCTGTCATATCTTTCGTCTGTCTTTTCAGGGGTTTTCTCGTAAGCCACGGCTTTCGAAAATGATGACATGAATCTCTGCTGGGTAGTTGCGCTGGTTTATAAACACTTGTTTAGGTCTGTAAATAGCATCTTCATAAGAGTGGTCTTGTTTTAAATGGTGAAACAGGTTTGTGGCTTTGCCTGCTTTTGATGGCACGAGTCCTCTGCGAAGTTTGCGGTGCACGTTGCTCTGTTTTGTGTGAGATAACAAAAAACTAAGTAGCTCATAAAGTCTAGTGACGTTTCTTGTCAACAATGTCTGTGACTCTGACCTTTGTTACCTTATTTCTTTCTTACTCCTTTCAGTGCAACTAACACTTTATGGCTGTAAAATTGTATAGCTTGCGGCATCCGGAAGGGCAGGCTGCAAAATGCATGCGCAACGTTACCCATAGTGCGTAAATATTATCGAGCAATTATTGAACTGTCATTATAGTTTTATCGAAAAATTTTAGATTGTGATAATTATTGATATCAAATTATCGCCCAGCCATATATAAATATATATATATATATATATATATATATATATATATATATATATATATATATATATATATATATATATATATATATATATATATATATATATATATATATATATATATATATATATATATATATATATATATATATATATATATATATATATATATATATATATATATATATATATATATATATATATATATATATATATATATATATATATATATATATATATATATATATATATATATATATATATATATATATATATATATATATATATATATATATATATATATATATATATATATATATATATATATATATATATATATATATATATATATATATATATATATATATATATATATATATATATATATATATATATATATATATATATATATATATATATATATATATATATATATATATATATATATATATATATATATATATATATATATATATATATATATATATATATATATATATATATATATATATATATATATATATATATATATATATATATATATATATATATATATATATATATATATATATATATATATATATATATATATATATATATATATATATATATATATAT